TAATTAAAGCCATACTTGAAGGTCATTTTGGTCATAACCAAAACCACCCCAACGAGTCATATTGAATACCACTTTGAAACATAATTAAAATATTAGAATGAGATGTAACTAATTTTGATTTTATAATTTGTTAGCCCCATCACCATAATGGCCTATAACCAAATAGCACAATAATTTGTAACTAACATTAATTTAAACCAAAAAATATATATATGATATATATTATGTATTATAGCATGACCGTAACTCAATGCTTCAAACAAATTGACAAAGTTGAGACTTGGGTGGAGGGGCCAAGTCTTTACAACTTATAAATCTAATAACAAATCTATATATACTAGTTGAGCTTATACAGTCTCTACAACTTACAACATACTTGGCACACATGACTTGTAGAGGAGAAGACAGAACTCGATGAAAACTTCTTCTTCACAAACTCTTTTTGTTTTTATTCGATTATTGTTATAGATTATAGCTCAATGTGTACAATCATTGCCTATTTATTATCATCATTGTAGGATGTAATTAAAGTTTCTTTAGAGAGTCCTGTAATACCAAGAGTCCAATTGGCGGAGGGACTTCTTATTAGTGTCGATCCGTTGTGTGAAATTGATGGAGTTCCAATTGGCCTGAATTTTGCAAAGTTTTTGTTTTAAAAGTGAACAAGCCGAACGCTGTTTTGGAAACAACATCCCGATGTCTAAGAACAATTGGAGAAGCTATGGGAAGATACATTGTCTGGCGCTCGATTCATGTATATGTTACAATCTTATTTATTTATTTATTGAAATAAATATCAAATGTTTTACATTTTCTGTAAGCTTGAAAATAATTATGTTGTAAATGATGATTTTTTTTCTTTTTTGTTTCTTTTTGTAGATGGAAACCTTTTGAGTACGTGATATCTTCGCATATCGATATGGGAGCTTACTATTGATATCAAAACAAGCTACATTATATCTGCTTTTATTTTTTTATTTTTTTTATATCTATTGTCGATACTAAAAATTTGAGTTCTTGAATTTCAAAAATTATTAGTATTGTTAGAGATTATTTTATATATTTTTGTAAATAATATTTGATTGACAATTGTTACAAGGTACATATATTATTCTTGGTATATGATTTTTTGAATGTGAATTTGGATGTGGATGTGGATGTGGATGTGGATGTGGATGTGGATGTATTTTTAAAAATATTAATAATTTGTATAGGAAATATTTAATAAAATATGATTTTATAAAAAAAAATTTTATTGCGACATGTAATTCTCGTTTTCTTATATTTTATTAGCGACGGGTCAACTTGTTGCATATACATATTAGTTCCAATCTTTTGCGACGGTTTCAACTGTTGCAAATAAATCTTTTGCGACGGTTTAAACTGTTGCCAATACGGTATTAACTTAATACTATTTTTTTGGTGACGCTTTAGACTGTCGCTAATAATATTTTTTGTCATGGCAAATACCGTTGCTAAAAAAGGTTTTTTGCGACGGCAATCAACATCGTCACTAAAAATGCCATTTTTTCTTTTTTTTTGTGTCAGGCGAAACTGTCGCAAAAACTATTGATTAGCCGTCGCTACAAGAATGCGACGGTTTGTAACCGTCGCAAATATTTTTTGTCATGCCCCTTTCCACCACCTCCCATTTTCCGTCGCTGTTCCGTCGCAAAAAATCTTTTGCGACGATATATGCACCTTTTGCGATGTTTGAGACCGTCGCAAAAAGTCCAGTTTTTAGTAGTGAGATAAACCTTGTCCCTGTAGACCTGCAAAGATAAGCATGATCGGTGCCATCCAACCGGGGTTGCCGGCCGGAGACACTCCGATGGTAAAGTCAGTCATTTGATTGACAGAATGAAGGTATAGAAAATGAAGAGTGTTGGTGTGTAATGTAGAGAGAGAGAAAGCCTACCTCAACTTGTGATGCCCCCCTTTACATAGGTGGGGGGTATGATATTTGTTTGGGCTGGACCCATTATAGGCCTCGTTTGGATTAGTCCTAATAAGTTGATATATATGTATTTTTTTTCTGACTCCCACAAAAATCATAATTTTTTTTTATAACTTGCACATGCACATAATAATATTTTTCTTCATGTAATAAATTCCAATACTCATACACTACTAAAAAAATCACTTTTTGCGACCGCTATGAACCGTCGCAAATAATAAAAAACAGTCGCAAAAGACTTTGCGACGGCCCATGCGACGGCAAATGGGGGTCGCGAATGTGGGGGTGGCAAATACTTTTTGCGACCGCAAAATAGCAGTCGCAAATTATTTGCGACCGCCGAATCTACTTATCGCGACTAATATTTTGCCGTCGCAAAAAAATTAAAAAAATACCTACAATGTATTAGCGACCATCTTGTTACCGTCGCAAAAAAAATATAAATAAATAAAATACCTACAATGTTTTAGCAACCTATATTCTCATATATATATATATATATATATTCAAGTAGTATATACAATAAATATAAAGTGATATTTGCAAAAATTCTAATAACAGGGGAAGCATTCAAAATATCCAGTTATGATAAATACATGCAAGAAAATATATAAACATTGAAGTTAACAACAAGAATTGACTTCAGAAAAAAGGAAGGAAAAAGAAAAAAATAATAAACATTGGCTCCCAATCTGAAACCTGCAATACCGCTTCCTCCACAAATGGTTTTACATTTCTCTGTCGGACTGAGAAGGCTTTATATGGCCTAAAGCAAGTACCCTGGGCATGGTATAGTGAAATTGATGCTTAGTTCAATGAAAAGGGTTTTCAAAGAAGCAAAAGTGAGCCAACTTTGTACATCAAAAGGCAAGATACAACTGATATTCTCATTGTTTCACTTTATGTTAATGATTTGGTTTTTACCCGTAGTGATGAAAAATTGATTAAAGATTTTAAAAGGAAGATGATGAAGAAATATGAAATGAGTGATTTGGGGCTATTGCATCATTTTTTAAGCATTGAAATTTACCAAAACAATGGTGGCGTTTTTATTTTCCAAAAGAAGTGTGCTCAAACACTTTTTGAGAAATTCAAAATGAAGAATTGCAAATCAGTTGCTACTCATTTGATTATGAATGAAAGTTGTCAAAGAAAGATGGAAGCAAAGAAGTTGAAGCATCTTGTTATAGAAGTTTGGTTGGAAGTTTGTTGTACTTAACTACTACAAGACCGGACATCATGTATGCTACAAGTTTATTGTCTCGGTTCATGCACAGTCCAAGCCAAATTCATTTTGGGGTTGCAAAAAGAGTGTTGAGATACATT